TTTCTGTCAATATATCCCATCAAAAGACTTAAGGCAAGAATGAACTGATACTACCAACAGGTAGTACTTGGGTTTCCAAAGCCTGATAAAGCTGATTGAGATGTTTATTTAAATCAGTTACACAGACAAACACACACATTATGTATAGTATTTGTGAGCTATTTTTAAAGAATTATTTTTCTGTCTGGAGAGAGAATCAATGAGTGAGGGACTGAGTGTCAGGCGGGGTGAGAAGTTTCTAACAAACTGAGGCATTGTTGGCTGTGGTGTAAAAAATATAGATTAACAGAAAATAATATAATAAGTCCAAAATATAGTTTCTGAGTAGGATGTTTTTTGTGATCTTTAAAATTAAACACTGGCTTGAAGAGGAACTGGGTCACTCAGTTCCACAAGGAAAATAAACTGAGTTAACCACAATAACAGTAGAATATAAACTGCATCAACCACACACTGTTACTGCTGAGCTACAGTTATAGTTTCACTGCTGCTTTTAATAAAACAAAAGATCATTTTTTACTGTTAAATACAGGAGAGTGTAACACGCTCCCACCGTGAGTGAAACTCTCTGCGTTGGAGGGACTAGTGATGAATCTGTTAGGTATTGAAGAAGCTGTGGATGAATATAAAGTAGTTAATATCATTTAATATGTGTTCATGCCCTCAACCACTCAAGCACCTCCACATTTACTCTGCATTCACTCACCATCAACACTCTGACAAATCACTTCTGGGCACAAAGTGAATGTTTCCCAAGGTCAAACCACTTGACCGTGTACATTCTTACTGCCAATTATAGAGAAGCCTGACTTAAACCAACAACCAGCACTTCTAAGTTACCTTTGAACTTAAAGGAGAATGAAGCAGGGTGAACAGTGAGACACAGGTCTGTGGGAGGCAGTGGGAGCAGTCCCATGAGAGATTGTTAGCACCAGCCAAAAAGATTGGCACCCCTGCATTTCTGTCAGATAAGGCACCACTTCTTCCAGAAAATCGTTGAAATCACAAATTCTTTGATATTCTCATGTTTATTTCTTTTGTTTGCATCAGAACAATAAAACAGAGGAAAAAGCCAAATCTGATACTTTATTTACACACAGAACTCCAAAGATGGACTGGACAGAGTTACTGACACCTTTTCAAAATCATATAAAATAGTTGTATTTCAGGCGGCACAGCAGTGTGGTGGTAAGCGCTGTCACCTCACAACAAGAGGGTTCTGGGTATGAGCCCGGGCCGACCCGATGCCTTTCTGTGCGGAGGTGTGCCTGAGTGGGCTCTCCGGCTTCCTCCCACAGTCCAAAGACATGCAGCTTAGGTTGACTGGTGACTGTAAATTCCCCCTAGGAGTGAGTGTGGTTGCTTGTCTACATGTCAGCCCTGTGATAGACTGTGTAGAATGATGGGGTTTATTATGTACCATCTGTTTTAAATGCAATTAAAAATTTACCACAGAATATACTATACTGTTGTTTTCAGATTTTAATGTAATGAGTTTAATTAGAAGTGCAGTGTGTGGATGCAGCCTCACAGAACAAAAGCATGTTTTTGTTATTGCAGCAGCATACTGACATTTAAATGTGCGCTCATTGAAGTGCCCGACAGAGGTGGAGGAAAAAAATCAAAGAGATTGGGTTTGGCACTGTCAGCGCCAGTAATGTCGATGTCGCTGTTGGAGTGCTGAAGGGAATCTGGCTTTTGTCAGCACCCAGGTGCTCATCAACATACAGGGGGCTACAGTGAGACTAGAGACATCTATCTAGACAAGGTAGTGTTTGACTGTTGGCTGTGAGTGGTTCTCTTAATCCTAGAATACAGAGGTAAGGGCCTGGGAGGCAGATTTCAGGCCTAAACTGATGCGGCTTAAAACTTACATTGACATTTCCTGGAGATGTACCCTAACTTTAACTAAACCCTACCCTTACTCTAACCTTAAACCTTATATCATGTCCTTTATCTAATATTCGATCCCCACAAAGATAGAGTGCTCCTGGTTTTTGGTCATCACAAATATTGAAGAACATAAGTACTGATCATTACATAAAACTAAAATGCATAAAAAATAGCTAGAATTTTAAAAATGAAAAGTCTTGATTACACATTGTTCCGACAGGAGCCAAACATATGGAGCAGTAAATCCATGCACACATATGGTGTTCTTATGTGAGGGCACCTGTTTGAAGGTCAGTGCATTGTTTTTCATTTGCACAAAACTGTGATGCAGCTTTTAAGAAACCTCAGATGTAAGCACAGCTTGACCTCTGTTGGAAAAATCAGTGCAAATATGCCATGACCCAGGAGATGTACATAATGAAGTAAAGTCCTTTCCAACAGTTGCCATCAACAATCATATATATGGCAGGAAGCAAGTGTGTACTTGATATTCAAATGAAGTACTCTATTGGTTACAGATGTTAAACAGGCCACGATCAAACTGTCAAATCCAATGCTCAAGATGACACTGAAACCAACACAGAAGCTGTACTTTATTTACACAGTGCCATGTGTTGTTGCAATATGTTTTTGGTATTTAGAAGCAGAGGACTCTGGATTTCCCCATCATAGCAATTGATGCTGAAAAACTGGTCCATGCATTTGTTACTTCCAGGCTGGACTACTGTAACTCTTTACTATCAGGATGTCCCAATAATTCCCTAAAAAGCCTCCAGTTAATCCAAAATGCTGCAGCCAGAGTACTGACAGGAACTAGCAAGAGAGATCATATCTCTCCCATATTAGCTTCTCTCCACTGGCTCCCTGTAAAATTCAGAATAGAATTTAAAATCCTTCTCCTAACATACAAAGCCCTTAATGACAAGGCTCCATCGTATCTTAAAGACCTCGTAGAGCCTTATCATCCTAACAGAGCACTTCGCTCTCAGAGTGCAGGTTTACTTGTGGTTCCTAGAGTCCACAGAAGTAGAATGGGAGGTAGAGCCTTTAGCTATCAAGCTCCTCTCCTATGGAACCAACTCCCAGTCTCAGTTCGGGAGGCGGACACCCTCTCTACCTTTAAGATTAGACTTAAGACGTTCCTTTTTGATAAAGCTTATAAAGAATATTCCCATAATAATTTGACCCTCATAATATGATTCCTTGACCATGACTTTGGGCCTATCTGATCAGTTATTTGAAACCAGGGAAATGACTATAGATTTAGTTTTAACTTTTCTTTCTTTTGTTTTGGTCATGTTTTAATCACATGCTCTATCTCAGAAATTGCTGATCAAATTTTCAATGACACCTGTTACACAAGTTAGAGCATTTTGGTCATTAGTTTGCTCCTGTCGACTGCAGCCAGTCAGACACCTCTGACTGGAGCTTAGCCATAACAAGAAGTAAGACTCATCATTATATTCCATTAACTTCAAAATTACAATGACAATGACACCTAAAGAGTTGCCAAAATTATAGTTGAAATTAGAGGAATTTCTTTCTGATTAGTCATGATGGAGACTAATAATATATGCATTGATTTTTACAGACTGAATATGATAAATGAAAACATTACTTCCAATGCCAGCTTTTATGTAGCGAGGTAAAGTGTACACATCATATATAATGTTTACCTCTTTATTAACCTTAACCAAGTGTTTTAATCATCCAGATTTAACAATACCTTGACCATAACTCTAACCCTCTCCTAGCCGTCAGGCTAACAATAAAATAACCCCTCCTTTCTGCTCCTTGCCCTTCCCTCCTGTTTCCTAAAAGTATGATATAGACTACAGATTCCTGGTTGGTTAACCATCAGGTGCAGGACTCTGTGCAGTGCCCAGTGTCTACACTGTTCACATTTTGCTTCAGGATACAACATTAAATACAAATGTGTACTGTTATGAATTTATTTCAAATACATTTTAATTGATCTGTCTCTGGTCTTTGGATTGCCCAATAAATAAATAAATAAATAATGCAGTAATTTTAACCTTTTCCATTCTCTTACATCCTGTTAACTTGGCAACACCTGCACAGTAGATACTTGTATTGAATGTTGCATTACAGTAGGAGCTGAAAGTGCCGCTTGGGAATTACCAACTAATCTACTGAACACAGTGTTACCCATTCTGGAATATAAATGTTTTTTATGGAGCAGCTTAAAAAAAATCTGATAAAATTAGCCTGAAAAAAAAAGATAAATTGCTCACTGGGGGAAACAGATTATAAAAGGCAGAAAATAAAAAGAGAAAATTTTAAACCAATGGCAATATTTTATTTCAGCAGAAAAGGTAAGAATAACAAATTATGATCATAACACTACATCATAAATTTACAGTTTTATTGCTGCAAAGGCTGTGGGGGAGGGGGAGAGCACAGCAGGAGCAGTAATATCATCTATCCATATGGTTTCTGAATCACCCAGGTCTGCAAAAGAAAACAGAAATGATTTTTCCTTCATTGCAAATGTTGTTAGTGCATGTTATCATTCAAACCAGTTAAGGGTTTGAGACATTTGCTTCCACTTACCCAGGCTTCGTCAGTTCATTGGTGGAGTTACAGGACCAGGCTGGAGAGTTGGCGGCCTCTGTGGCACCTCCGCAGCCAGAACAGTCATTTCACTCTCTTGTAGCTCAGATATGTGTGCACAACTCTTGGTGTGTTCAGTGCATCAATGCATCATCATTTAGCATCTTTGAATTAAACCCTCCTTGTAAACACACAGAATAAAATAAGCTAATGAATGATGATAAATCTAAGGCGATTTAGTATAAAGACTATGTTAGGAAATGTGCATATGCTTACATCTTTCTGCCATCTTATGTTGGTGTGTGCTAGAATTATGAAAGTATCATAATCAACAATGCTGCATGGCACATCTTTGTGAAAACAAGGAAAATCTTTATACTTAAAACACATCAGTTCCTGTCCATTTCCATTTCATGACCAGTGCCTTAAGTCTTAATCAGTGCAGCTTTAAGTGTAGTTTACCTGCAAAAGCACCGACACTGAAACTGGGATTTCAAGTATAGAACATGTCACATTTGTCTACCCAATAAAGTGAAGTTATGATTTGCTTATTTGTAAAAGGAAACAAAAACAAAGAGCTCATGAATACTCCAAACTGCCTTGTTATAAACATCCATCACAGTTTACAGACTGATTTTCTGGCTCATTTTCAACCTATTGCACTTAGTTTTCTGTGCAAGGAGAAATAATTATGTTTCTTTTAGCTGCACTCTTTGTTTGGCTGCTTGTTTTTCTTGCCCTGACTTCATTCAGTGTCAACACTCTGTTTGGCTGCTTGTATTTCTTGCCCTGACTTCATTCAGTGTCAAATTTATCCCCAGGCCTCAGCATCATGCTATTGAATACAGTGCCGTCTTTACAGTACCAATATTAATATCACCTACTGAATTATTCTGGTTGTAATTTGGAGTCATTCCAACTGACTGACTGACTGTCCAGTTAGCAGAAACCAACAGATGATTAGCAAATGAAGTAATTTTGCTTGTTTTGGTCCAGTTTATATCAGACATAACACTACAGTCCATGTAGCACTTTAGTGAGAAGTTGTAAAGGTTTATGCCATCAACACAACTAGAAAAGTGGGGAATTGTTCAACTATCAAAGCTCAACATGAAATTTCTCTAGTTTCATGTAAAACGGTTGTGTGTGTCACACATAACCGTTCTGGAGCCAGTTATCACTGCTGATCTGCCTGACTGCCACAACTGTCTCCTGCTGTCGTGACCACAAATAACCTAGTTTCATAAACAGGGCAGGAGGGAGAAGAGGAGGGAATACTGCTCGAGTTTGTTTTGATTCTCACTTTGCCCTTAACAGTCAAAAATTATACGGAGAAGTTAGTTAATGGAGCTTTAAGTGATAATATATCAGAGGAGTACACCTTTCAACAGCAGTCTTTTAATTAATTATTTGAAGAAGTTTTATGTGCATTTTACACCATTTATTTCTTTGGGGGGGGTTGTATTTTTATTTGCAAACAGTGGATGCTTTACTAGATAATAAAGTTATACACTGACCATTTTGTCATGTAAAAATTAAATTAAATGTCTCCAGAAGAGACTGGCTAAAAGAAAATGATGCAGTTGTCAAGAACAAAGATGCTGAAAATAGCAAAACCGTCCTTGGCAGGAGAGAGCAGAGCTGTGTCACACAGAACATCATATGCATGTATCCCCTCACAGAGCAGATAGATGCTTTGAGTGGTCACAATTTAATCTGCTGTCAAACTGCCCACAGAATGTTTCAGCCCCTGTAGCCTCAGAATCTGAGTGAGTAATGTCAGGATGTGTGCAAGGCAACAGCTTAGGGGAGCCTGTGTCAGAGGTGTCTGGAGGTTAACACAGAGGCACTGGCCCTGCATTAATCACTGAAAGGTCAAGCAGGGAAAGGCCACACATAGTAAATTATTCTTGGCTGAACCTGGAACAACATCAGTGGTGAAATGCAATCATTAAACTGTTCATGCACTGATTTAATGATCTGTATTTCATTATTTTATAGACCTTTATGTCATCACATTTTCCTTATCATTGTTCAAATGCTGAAGAATAACGTCTTCTTGTAATTTCTGGCCAAGCAACCTTGTGACTATGTGCTATGGTTTAATTGGCTTGAGTATGGAAATGCTCTTATAACTACAAAACATCTGATGGCCAACAGCCACCCAGAAACCCTGCTAAACATGTTTTTTTATATTAGCCCCTATGCCCATTGGACCTTACCGTTACATTTTAGGGCTGTGACAATATTTGTAATTCTTTTTTTTTTAATTTCTTCATTTTTAATATCATGATAAATATCATATCATGGACTTTTTATTGTGACAATAGTGCACAGTTAGTTTTTGGTGTCGTTACATCCTTATTAATAATTTGCAAAGGCAAATATGCTTTGTGGGGAATGTAATGCTGATGATACTGTACTGATTTCTACATGTTAAGTAAATGTTTTTATGAAGATTTCAGAAAAGTCACAAAATGTTCACATCTAACATGGCTGACAGTCAGAGGCGAGCTAGTAGCTCATTGCAGAGGGGGCGATGACCTGTAGTGGGCAGTTAAACGACCTATTATAGGCTGTATGGAAATGCAAGATAGACTTGAGGGGAAATGTAAGGAGTCAAAAGGGTGGAACAGACAGAAATGCACACTGGGCAAAATAAATGGCAGTTAAACATATATTGGCTGTCCTAACATCACTGTAGAAACGCTGGACAGACCAAGTTGTGTCAAACATGCAACACTGTGGCATGGTGTTGTCAACAGGTCTGTCACTCTCCCTTTCAGGGAACAAACAGACTTTCAATATTTCAGATGTCCGTTGCTAGACATAAACCCCCCCATTACTGAAATCACACTTTTTTCTGAATGTTTACTGCCTGAATAAAATGTGCTATGAACGTCCCATGACTAGTCCATTATTCCACTGCCACACTGCAGCTACTACAACAACTACAGGTAAAGGTAAAATTGTGGAAATATTAATATCATGGTGTACAAACCCTGATGACTGCGCCTCAGCTTGTACTTTGCTTTGACATTCTGGATGAGAATACAAATCAAATCTTTATTATTAATCAAAATGAATCCACTGCCAAACATAGGAGCTGGTTAAAACTAAGATGTATGATTTCACTGGGGCACAGCAGATCAATACAGGGGCACGCGCCGCTGGAAAAGGGGTCTAACGACATCTGTGTGTATGATGCAAGCTTGAGGCCTACATGATAACAGGTTTTAGAAGATGGGTTGGTTTGAGTGATCATCAAGACAAGGTTGATACTGTTGATTAGAACAGGTGGTTAAGACGTTTACCCATTTTAATTGTGTATTGTTTATTGTTATTTTTGCCAGAACATCCACTCAGAGAAACACAAAATTAAACTAAAGCTTTGAAACTTTAGTACCAATTAGTATCCAACACTGTACATCTACCATTTACAAGCTCTGTAGCTCAGCTTAGAAAGGACATTTCTGTTTAAAGTTCAACCTAAATGGAAAACTACAAAGAAAAACAACTGCTGTTAATTAGAAAAACAAAATCCTATTGACAAGGAAACAATTCCACTGGGAAAGAGGGCAGATGTACTGATTAAAGCTTTAAAGAAGAAACCTGAAACTACTGACAGTGGCCAACAGTGTCACAGGACTAGGGTGCTCACCAGGAGGTACGCTTTTTTTAATTAGAATACAAGTAGACATGTAGCTGCAATGACCAGCGTGATGAGATGGTGATTACTGGGTCATGTGTCGATGATTTCAAGGATCACATTACATTCACAGTAGATTAAATGGGCAATTATTTTGTTTCCAGATTGCCCACTGTTATTTATGTATGTAAAATCATCTACCCAAAGGAATTTTTAAACATAACTTCAGAAATATTCAAATACACCATTAAAAAAACGTAGGCTGTGGTGTAAACTCCAAAAATGTGATTTTAACTGTAGATCTCATGTCGGTGTATTTCAGCGGTTGTGTTCATGTTTTAAACTCTGCACATCCAAGACAGCAAAGAGTTTCCTCTGACAAAACTCTGTGAAAAGGTCAGTGGCTCATGACCGTGAGGGTCTGTGTATAAAAGGGAAGAACAGGCACATGGACAGATGGGCCCCAGGCGGTGCTCAAGTATCTGCCCTCTTGACCTTCAACTTGGCAAGTGCCCTTTTTGCAGGACATTTTTTCAGTTTTTGTTTGTTTTTGGGTGGTCTGCAAGGCCACATGAGCCCCTGCCCCTCCTGCTTCCCAAACCACACAAACGAGCACCCTGTGGTGTAGCGTCCACACGTCTCACTGACCTGGCTGCGTTCATTGCTGAGAGGCAGGTTATAAAACTGTGACCTGAGCCTCTGCATGGTTTATCAATGTTGTGACTTTAAACCACTATTAAAACCTTTCAATACAGTCTGCAGTGGCCCGATAATAGAATCCATTTAGTCAGACTCTGCTATGCCTTTTCAGCCAATTAGGCATTTAAGAAAAAGCCTAACTTAGGCAATAGGCCACCATTAAGCTTAACAACAAACAAGCTAAGATTGCTAAAATAGGAAATGTAAATCTGCCTGGCACCCTCTCTTGCACAGCACTAATAGAGCTGTGACAATGGGCTGATAGTACTCTCCATACTCTGACATGTAAAGGAAATGATCTGTTTGATCCACAGTTTCACAAGTGTATTGGTATTTAAGTAAATAAACAAACAAATAAAAGCAAAAAGAAACAAAAGTAACCATAAGTAAACCTCTGCCAAGACAGTTCAGTTTCCCCATAATGCCATTACACATAAAAACAATATTCAAATCATAGTTTGACCCTCATAATATGATTCTCGTACCATGAAAACCTATCCCTAGCATCCGGAACCACACTGACCACAATGACATCACTATACATTTGAAGGTTATTCATTAAAAAAAAAATAAATAAATAAATAAATATTTTTCAGTAATGGTGGTTTTCTTCAGGATCTAGCCCAATAAGCTTCTGGAGCTGTGGATTGCTCCATGGGCCACCTCTCCAAAACATTTCATTAATATTTATTCATATCATATTCTATGCTGTGAACAAATCAACAAACAAATAATCCAAAAATCACCAGTAAAAACATAACCTCCTTGGTGGAGGTAAGTATCTGGTGCAGCAGACCTGTCTGTATGATAAGGAACATGGTTAGACAGTTCTC